GCCATATTACTGGGCAACTAACCATCCAGTCTATCCACCATGCCCCATATTACTGGGCAACTAGCAAACCAGTCCACCCACCATGCACCATAACACTGGACAACTAGCAAACCAGTCCCCCCGCCATGGCCCATAATACTGGGCAACTAACAAACCAGTCTATCCACCATGCACTGTAGTTCGGACACTTAGCGATGCTGCATATGCTGCGTGCGAGGGGTGCTGATCTGTATGCCGAGGACGAAGACGGTGGCAACGTGCTCCTATGGACCGCAGACAGGGGACACACGAAAGTGGTCACGTATCTGGTGGACGTCGTTGGGATGGATATAAACATGGTGTGTACTTTGTCTTTCATGTTCGTCTTTGTCTTTGAAAAGTCCTGCCCATAGGGCAGGTAGCCGTAGGTATGCGTTGGTTGTAGTCATGCATTTTTCCCGACTCTTCTCTTACCTCAACTATTGACGACAAGCGTCGATCTATGGTGGTACTAAATGAGAACGGAGAACGTTGGTGCACGATCCCTTCCTCGGAATACTCACTATTTATCTGCTTATTTACGTATTCATTGCACGTTGCAGGTGGATAGTGCCGGCATGACTTCCTTGCATTGGGCGGTCTACAAGAACAGGTGCGAACACAGCGTATGCCGCAGTCCTAGCTAGACACTATGCCCTTAAAACCTTAAAACACTAAAACTCTAAAACCTAAACCCCCACACTGCCACACGCTATTTAATTGCTGTGCGATGTGCAGGAGATACTGTTGGCTGTGTTGCCCTGTGGTCTGAGTCCTGTTTGTTGTTCATGTAGTGTCCTTGGCTGGCCTCGCGAGTGTCTGCGCCATCCCTTGTATTGCCTGTGCGGGATGATGTGTATTCCTTCGAAGGATGTGTCCTTATTCTTGTTGTCCTGTCATGTCCACACTTGTTAATGGGTGGTACAGGGCTATGTCTCTTGTCTCGATACTATCCCTATCTTAGCCTCGTCCACCTTGTCGTGTTTCTGGGCTCCATCTCACTCGTACAGCACAACTGCTCGCCATGTGCTCAGACATGCTGATTTTAATTTTATATTGCGTTTTTTCTGCTGTGTGAGTTTGTTGTGTATCGCCTTGTAGTTGCACAACGCCGCCCGTTATGACTTCACATATGCCTGCATGTGGACATGACAACATAAGTATATATGTGTAGCTTGGAAATCGCCTGCTTATACCTGATTGCAGAAACCAATGCCATTTGCTCTGTTTTAACCCTACAACTGCATGCACATATGCGTGATATGAACGTTTATCGTTTAGAGGGGATTGCTACTACCCTGTGCCTAGCAAGCTGTGTTTTGATCTTTGCCATGCTCGTGTACCCGACCCACAGAATTGACACTGTGCGGAAATTACTACACATCAAAGGCATTTCACTCAGCCTCAAAGATTCCGATGGCTACACGCCGGAGATGTACGCCAAGCAACGCGGTCATTCACTGGTACTAAAGTGTCTGCACATGCATCAGCAAGGTTTAGGTATGTATTTGATTGGTGGATGTGTATTTGCGTGTGTAATGACTATACGTTTATGTTTTGATTTGCGTATATATAAAGTGGTCCGTATATGATGCTTTGATTCAGTATCACACACACATTGAGTCTGTATGCAAGTATGCGACCGATAAACCGTATGATAGTGTTTAGCTATCGCGTCGGCATGATTCGCATTCATACTTTGACCGAGTGCGATAGATCTCCTCAGACGCTCGTATCGAGTTCATACTATCTCTTACCTACATAAAACCCCGTGCCGTGACATGAGGCTTATCTCCGCCATATCCTCAGACTCAATACCAGCCGACATACACCAATATCTACACAGGAGAACCTATCGTGAGCCTGCGCATGGCCGAGATTACCAGACAGTCGCCCGCATATCTGTACCCTATGTTGTGCTTACCTACCATGCTGTGGATAAGCTGGTACACAGCCTCGTTGCCTGCGGCGTTCATATTGAACACGTTGGTCATGAGCTTGTTGATGGCTCTGAGCACTCCCCGGCTGTACTCGTACGTTATGAAGAAGGGCGCGGACGGTAACCAACGCAATCCTTCACAGGAATGTTCTATATATATGTATATATATGTATGTA